TAACGGTGGCGGGGGTGGTATAGAAAATGATGGTTGCGAAGTGGAATTGTTCAGCGAACGATAGTCCAGGAAGGGCGAAGGTGGCGGAGGCGGTGGCGGTGGCGGTGGCGGAGGTGGTGGTGGAGGCGGAGGTGGTGGCGGGTAAGAATAACGTGGTGGTGAAGAAGGCGGACTAGGACTCGGTAAAGTAAACGGAATTCTAGGTGGGTTGTAAGAATATCCTGCTTGCCGAACAGTCCTCAAATCTTGACCAGCGACGCAGATGACCAATAACAATATCCTCAGCTACGTTCATGGCACAATTATTAAATATCTAAACACGGAACGAATTTTGAAAATTTTTGTTAAGAACCTACGTACCCATTTTAGTGCTCGCATATTGAGTCTGCGTATAGCGAGAGAACAAAAGTTTCAGCGCTTTTTATACGAGCACCATCGTGATTTCTACGAAATTTCGCGTTTCATAAGATTTCGCTAAATAGACCCACGAAATGCTCATTATATTATTTGTGTGTCCCAGTTGGACTCGGAGCTATTAAGTCCACGAAAATTGTAGTACAGAAATTTGTCTCTCTTACTCATCTTATTCTCAAAGACCTCGTTATAATCTAAGATAATGATGAAAGAAGAGAGACGACATTTCGTTGTTACTGCATTTTGTAGTACACAATTTAACATCGAGGATGCTTGCTTAATTTGATGCAACTTTTGGTGCCACGAGGTAGCTAGGATTTATTCTTACATAATAACAACGAAACTATGAAATGATTCCAATTAAACATGAAATTAAGAGAAGAACCTGTGAATTATTTTCATATTACATTTAAGTAATTTGCAATGAACTACACCTCGTATATACAATATATCATTTTCGGCATGTAGACTACATAAAAGTTTTGCTAATGTAACAGCCACGTTGATCCGAAACGCCGCGACAAATTGGAATGTGCGAATGCACTTTCGCTGGAGAACCAACGCGACGATGGGGCCTCGTTAATCTTCTTGTGCAAACTTATCGGCCCGACAGGTAGGTTAATGCGATTTTTATTCTCAAACCTGTTACTCGTGTGATTAATCACGGATGAATTCTCGGTAATTATAAGTTTTCCTCGTCCCTTGTCCTTTTAACTTCTTCATTCTCGAATCCGTCTCTTTCCGTGACCACCGAGAATCAAGATAATTATGTTTCTAATGCCAGTGTATAAATTGATTAAAGACTAAAATACGACACGCCGAGTCTTTTACATTCCTTTTAATAAAATTATAGGTCTTAATGATTGAAATATATTGCCGTTAATAGTTTGGTTGCACCGAATCGTATTTGAGAATTTGATGCGATATCCAGTGAAAGAATTCGGTGTTCAGTGAAAGCGCAAAAATGTTAATTGTATCGCGTTCGGGTGAAGAGACGGCGAGCCACGTTAAGTTAAGTGCACACGTACACGCGTACGTACATATGTAACTACGTATTCTGGTTCGCCAGAATTGCTGTCGGGTATCCACAAAACCTGGATTTAATTAAAGACGCGGGTCTCTGTTTGTACGTGTAAATTAAAGAAAAATTCGATACACGCGAATACGGCGGTGATGCCGCCATGTTCACGTTTCCTGAAATTACGTATAATTAAACGTATAGTTGTAATTTCTACTGGACTTTTTGTCGATAAATACACGGTTTTTATTGTTGCCGCAAGCTAAACGTTGCGGCTGCCTTCCAGTAATTTGCTCTTTTTATTTTTCGGCACCTTCAGCACTCGATAGCCTTTGTCAAACAGAGAATTTTATCCAATTTATGTAAAATAAAGACGGTCCATCTTAGACGTTATTTGCCTTGAAATTACTTAATGGCTCAAGTTTAAACTGGATTCCCTCTTCCCTCGAATGACACGACTGCGCTCACTGTTTTAATTTCATTAGGAAACAGCCCTTCCGTTTTTCCATAGAAAGGAGTCCTAAATACACGTCTCTTCCTCCATTAGGGAGGCATTAATCAAAATGAAGTTGTTTACGATCTGTCTCGAGTGTTGTAAGCCGGTGCCGGCGAGCCACCCAAGGCGCGTAGACTGATGAAAGAAAGGGACGGTCCTCAAAAGCCAGCCAAAAAGTAAACAGCATCGAACCGGGCGGGGGACACCGAGGGGGAAAGAATGGGTGCGAAGCAGATGATCGAGCCACTTTCTTCTTCTCTATAGCGGTCCGACAATTTGTTTCACGGCGCAAGCTCTGTTACAGTGAAACATCCATACTCAGCAATCATTGGCACGAGAACTCGTGGCTTCTAATGCCGGGGCCTCGAGGAGCGAATCACGCAACTATTATCCCTCGCATAACCGAGGTTTCCATGCACCAGATGGCCACGAGTGTTTTCTTTTATTTACCTCGAAACCGATGCCACCGCAATTACTGTGGAAGCCGGGGTAATGCCAAGATCGTCTCAAACGCTTTCTCTAACCACCCCTTGCGATTATTAAAACTGAAGATTTTTAGGCGAAATAAGGCATTTCATCGAATTTATCTATAATTGATATGACGAATTTTGTAATTTTATATTGATAATATTGAAAATAATGAAATTATTCTGGTGTATGTTTTTTGTGTGAGACGGAAGTGTAAGTGGTATAGAGGAATCTGAGGTGGTGCCCAGTTTCCGCGAACGTAGAACCGGGAAGGGAAGAGCGAGTTCCGCGACAATTGCAATCGCGGGGACAGATAATGCGTGGCACTTGCCTGCGACCGGTCGCATGCCAGATGGTCACCACAGTTTCGCCAAGAATCCTACGAACACGTTTTAAAAACGAACCTCGCTTGATGTTTAATAATCGCATTACAGATTTAGATAAATCGGTATATGCTTGCATCGTATATTATATCATATTAGGATAGCACATACGTAAATAGGAGTTAACATAGAAAAATGATTTCTGATGATGAGTAGAGTAATCATAATCATGTTCATTACTTTTTAAAGCAATGTGCTGTCCGACTTGTAT